CTTTAATCTCACAATTCTGACTTTTTCTTAAATTCTGACTTTAATCTCACAATTCTCACTTTAATCTCACAATTCTGACTTTTTCTTAAATTCTGACTTTAATCTCACAATTCTCACTTTAATCTCACAATTCTGACCTTTTCTTAAAATTCTCACTTTAATCTCAGAATTCTGACTATTTTCTCAGAATTCTGACTTTTTTCATATATTACACAGAAATAAAATTTAAAAATCAGTTAACTTTTAAAAAAAAATTTCAGTCACCCTAATCCTCTTCCGTAAAGATCTGTCAATGTAGATGTGAAAAATATGACGATGATGATGATGAGTTTATGGCTTCCTGAAAGTTACAGTTGCAGAGAACAAGTTGACCCTTTTTGGATATTTTGTTCTAAACTAAATTCTGTTGAACATTCCTGTTATGCTGAAAACAACCTGGTTTAAAATGGTTTAAAAACAGGACCTAAACTAATCAGAAAGTTAAATTCCCTGCACAAGTGATATTAATGTAGATTTACTTAGATAGGAAAATAAAAATTTCACAAAGTTTTTTGCATAATTGTAAAATACACCCTCAACTTTCCATTTCCATTTACATTTTCCCACATTCAGTCCAAAAACATCAATGATTCCAGCTGGATTATAAACAATGAAATAATGTTAATTAACCCGTATCAGTCACCTAAAAGGACCGATCTACATGATATTTTCTTCTTTCACAGCAGCTGGTAGTGTATTTATTTTGGAGTGGCTTTGCTTTTACCAGTTTTGAAGATTTAAACTTGTTTTTCCAAGTAACTTTCATTCAGATTAGACGGATAGTGTCTTTGAATATCTTATTTCAAGTCCTGTAGAAATGTTTTAGCTATATTTAGATCTTAACTGATTTGACCATTCAAACCTAATCCCCCAATTGTAGCTCTTGCCGTATGTTTAGAGCTGCTGACAGGTGAACCTCACCTGAGTCTGAAGTCCTGTGCAGCTTCTAACTGGTGCTCTTCCAGGATTACTGTGTAAAGTTTAGTATATATGCCAAAAATCTAATTTTTAATATCTGACTAGATCCCATGACAGCTTAGGTGGACGCTGTGTTTGCAGTTGTGCCATACTGGTTTCATTTTCAGCATCTAGAAGACTTTAAAACTTCCTTCCTGTTCTGTGTGTTGTGTCCTTTTCGATCATGATTGTGTTTGTTTACTGTATTGTTATCAATCAAACGTCTACAGTATGTGAGCTTTGAAAGCAACTGGTTTTCTTTTTTGGTGTAAGGGAGTAAATGGGACTGAATTAAAATCAATGCCATTATTTCAGATTATGAATTTATAAACGAGTGAGTTGCAACTCCTGGAGACACTAACTGATAAAAGTCTTATCTGAAGATGTTGCTGTTTGAAAATAATTTTGAAGGGTCAGCGCTAAACAGCAGCTCAGTTTCCGTCCTTTGTTCCTCAGTCCCATCAGGGATTGGTTTAGCCTGCAGGAATATCTGTTCATCCTTCCTCCTGTGCAAATACCATTAAAGCAGAGATGCAGAGGACGTACTCTTTGCCGACATTTAACTTATGCATTTATTTATGTATCTTAACAAACTGCTTTACCATTAGTGCCATGCTTCTGGTATTACTTCTTTATAGCCATCAAAGGATGCTATGTTCTGTATATGTCCCAAATATTTGCTTTTATTGAGCAAGAAAGGACATTTATTCAACATCTTGACAATAACCACAGCTTGGTGACAGATATTGTGTCCTATATATGTGTAAAGCAAAAAACAGCAAAGTACTTTTAATGTCTGATGCATTTTTTATCCAATACTTTTGCTGTGGATTTTTTTTTATTTTTTTTTTTAATTATTCATAACTCGCTACTAAAACATTTCAATCTTATTTCCCCCCCCCCAATTGAAATTCCTACTGAAATGAAGTCCATAGAACTCTGTTTAACTTGGGGCTCAACTAACAATTATTTTGCAAATCGATTAATCTTAAGATTATTTTTTTGATTAATCAATTAATATTTGGATAGCCAAAGGTTCCTTAACAAGGAATTTTTACAGAAAATAAACCAGGTGAAACTAAAGCTTTTCCACTTGAGGAGTTCTAGATAGAGCGTATAGACAGAAAAAGCATATTTTTTGTCTTAAATGCAAAATGTTTATATATTTTTTAAGAATTTTGATATAATTACTGCCTAAGTGGGTCGCTCTGTCAGTTAAAGGCATCTTTCACAGTCTCTACACTCCAGTTAATGATTAGTCGATTACTAAAGTAGTTGACGATTATTTCAATAATCGATTATTCAAAATTAACCTGATTAATTGTTTCAGCCCTAGTTTAAATGTAGGTTTTATCTAAACAAATACAACAGGAGAAGATTTTCAGCAAAGCTCTAAGCAGTTTATTTAACCAAATGAATGAATAACATTAGCAGTCTGTGATTTTAAAGCTGTATCCATCATTAATCAGTTCTGAACCCTGTGACCCCCTCCCCTGCTCCTGCTATAGACCTCTATGTGTGATGATGATGAGGCAGCAGTAGCTCCAGCTGATGAAGAACCTCCTCTGAGGTGCTTCTTTATTAAGGCTTCATGCTGAGGTTTGGCAGCACTCTGCTGATTTCTGCTCTGTGCTCTGCCAGTCGTTGCTTACTGAATCCTTCATACCCTTGATTGAATTTGTTTTGATTGAAGACTGGTTGGTTCCAAACAAGAGTTAGTATACTGGTTCTGAATTAATTTTTCTTCTCTAAACCAAACATAATTAATAATTATTATCAAACACTTGGATGCACATAAAATCAAGAAAGATGTTTAAAAACTTGAAACACAGTAATAAAGTAACCATCAGATTGTTGCATCACAAAGAACTACTTGGTTTTACTTTAAACAACTTGTTAACCAGTTTCCATGATATAGATACCCATATTTCCACTGACTGTAAACGTCTCCAAACAGCCATAACCTCTTTTCTTTAAACATAAGGAAAAACAAAGTAACAGTTTTCAACCAGCTGATCAGCAGTGACAGCAGATGGAGAAGGAGGGACAATGCTATCTCTCATAAAGGTTTTAAATGTTATTTTAGCATTTAGAAGCAGTATGTTTTGAATACATTTGTGTCCATTGATGCCTGCAACTGGCCTTTGTCTGATTTTTAACTGTGTAGCAAACAGACCAAACCCAACCTGCTAAACATGATATCAATCCTGATAATAATGTAACTGTCGGGCAAGTTCTGCTTTTGCTGACAGCTGAGGGATGATATTTCCACTTTCAGTACGCAATCATGTAACATTTAGTTGCAGGTCAAGTGTGTAATAAACCCGCGCTGCATTTTTTACGAAATGTTTGCAGCATTTATATGCTGTTTTAGAAATTGAGTTTTTTCATTCTTAAGTTCTGAACAAGTACAGTATGGACAAAAAAAGAATAGATTATAATTTTTTTTTTAGCATCTTTATAGATTTTTTAAATTCTTTATTCTAAATAGTGAGAGTCTTTAAGTTTTTTTTTACATTTATATAATGAATTCAGCTTTCTGCTCTTTTATTTTATTTATTCTAGAATTAGACAACTTTTATTGTAATTTTAAAGCATTTTGTTTTGCACAGCTGCCATAACATTTCCATTTCTTAAAGTGCAGCAGTGATCAACTGTAAACATTGTGGGAGAAAAAAACATGGTGCAAAAATGTATAGCACAATTCAGTACAAAGACAATGCAAAGTGCTTTGCATGATTAAAATATAGGAAAGTAAAACAGAATCAAAGCAAGTAGGAAAAAAAATGCAGAAACAAGAAAGAACATTACAAACAGTTGGACTAAAGAAAAGCTTTAAGGTGTCTTGGTCAAGGTCAATGACTGGCATATCTAACATGTAACAACCATACCATGCATATTGCTTTAGGTTAATAGACTATTTTAATTAGGCTATGAATGCTTCCAAAAAAAAAAAAAAGAAAATTCCACCATCCCCTTGTTTTTTTTTGTTTTTGTACAACTAGACTATTGTTGACGATCTTCTCTGGTGTTCTCACCACTCTCAGTTTCCTCCAGTCTGAGGCGCTGCAGCCTCCACACCACACAGTGAGACAGCTGGTCAGAACGCTCTCTATGGTGCTTCTGTAGAAGGTGGTGAGGATGGGTGGGGGCAGGTGGGCTCTCATCCTCCTCCTCAGGAAGTGGCTCTTTTGTGCTCTTTTGACCAGTGAGGTGGTGTTTACAGTCCAGGTGAAGTTGTCTGTGATGTGCACCCCCAGGAATTTGGTGCTGCTGAACACCTCTACAGCTGAGCTGTTTATGACCAGTGGAGCGTGGTTAGGCTGCTTCTTCCTGAAGTCGACAATGGTCTGGTGTGGTGTCGTCTGCAAACTTCACGATGTGATTGGTGGTGAACCTGGGGAGGCATTCATGTATCATCAGGAGGCTCAGGACGCAGCCCTGAGGGGATCCTGTGCTTAGAGTGATGACATCAGAGCTGTTCTGTCCCAACTGGACTGACTGAGGTCTGTTTGTGAGAAAGTCTAACAGCCAATTGCAGCGTGGTGTATTGAGGCCCAGCTGTTCCAGTTTTGCCATCAGATGCTCCGCACGTGGGCGTTTTTTTCTCC